AATCTATCCCAAACAAGCTCTTAATTTCACCTATCATTTAATCAATCATTTACATCCACATAGATTGGGGATGCATTTTCACTGGGGATGAATAGCATTTTTCATTTTGAAATGTAATTCCATACAAAAAAAAAAAAAAAAAAAGATCAAACAAGGATTTAATGTAAAATTAAATATTAAAATTAATTTTTCTGAAAAATTATGATTAGTTATCATTAATCAACTTCTCTTTCTTTTGTTAGTTGTGATTTATAATCTTTTACTTTTCTCTTTCCTCAGTGGAATAATTTTGCTATTCTTTTAATCTGTTTGACCCCTGCTAAATTACATTACATTATATTATATTTTTCTCTTTTTTCATTACAATCACACATTCATCAAATAAAGTAATATTATTCATTAATTTTTCACCACACATTCTCCTATCAATCACTATTTCTAAAAATTTCGACCATCAAACTTGTAAAATAATGGGGGCCAAACAGGGGTTAAGATAAATGAAAAAACATTTATGTCAAAAAATAAATAAATAATAATATTTTTAATTTTCTTTACATTTCATTAATTAATTGATCATTTCAGTAATTAAATTCAGTAGTTTGGCAAGGTTAACTTGATAAAGTAATAGAATTAAAATTAAGACCTTGTTTGGTATACATTATTCTTTTTATTCTTCTACTAATTTTTAAAAACACATTTTTTAATAAAATAATATTTTCTATCACATCAATAGTTTTTCCTTCATTTTTAACCACATATTCTTCATCAATCTACTATTCAATAATACATTCTTTCAAAAGAATGTGTCTCAAACATACTCTAAATATTTTATTGTTGTTATTCATGGCGAAAGACACGGATGTTGTGAAAACACTGTACAAAAAATTGTTATATATTTTTAGAGAAATATTATTCATTCCCGTTGGGATTGTATCCCCAATCTAGATAGCGTTAATGTGGTATTAAATGATATGTGAAATTAAATGACTTATTTAATTTCATCTATCATTTAGCCAATTATTTAATGCCACATAGAATGGGGATGCAACCCCACTCGGACTACATAGTATTATTGATATTTTTATGAATAAAAAATTTAATAAATCATTTATCTTTTTTAATTTTTATCAACGTGTGATCGAATCATCGAGTTCTCAATTTTTTTTTCAAAGCATTTAGTTCTTACATCATAACCAAAACAATTAGTAAGTATGTCTTAGTTTTTATAAGTAGTGAGAATAATAGAATATTTAAAGAGAGAAATGAAAATAAATGAGAGAGTAATATTTTGTGAATCTTTCGAAATGTATAAATTAAAATAACTTAAATATTTATCTAAAGTATACAAACATACATGACCGAACACATTCAAGATAGCACTAAATCAATGCCCCCCGGGGCACATCCAAGTTGGCAAAGGATGGGCACTGCTGGGCTTGCAACCTCAGGGTGGGGAGTTCGATTCCTGGATGGAGCAGCTGAGCGTTGTAATACTCAATTTGGGTGGAGTAGCTTGGTGATGTAATATCCATGGAGGAAGGCTCCCTTGGG